AAAGGTAATCTGAAAATAGAACTCAGGTTTATTCTGAGTAATTCATGGCAGGTTTTTTAGTTGCCTTAGTAAAATATCACAACAAAACAAGTCATGTCTGGTTAATATACATCTCATGTATTTCTATGAATGAACACATACAGGTACTTATTTGTAAGTTAAATAAGGTGACTGCTTTTATTTGGATGTTTGGTGTAACTGAAGGTGCTCTTGGAACTGTGAGTCCCACCCACAGTTTCGAGCCCCCTCATTATGATGGCACTGAAACGCTAACCATACAAGGGCATAACCCAGTAAGTGGGTCCAGAGACAATGGAATCAAGAAATGGGATCTGGCTCAAAAAGACCTTCTAATGCATGGGATAGATTGGTTGCTTCAAAGTCACCAGCACTCTCTATAGGAACTTGAAGAGCCTCTAAGTAGAATTTCATCATTTAAATAAAATCAGTCTCAGAGTAAAGCAGTTACAGTTTCTCATTTTGTTCTGTTTTTGCTTTAGGTATGCACATTCCAAAGAATTATAAGTGTAGCTGAAGTCATAGCAGTGTAAATGGTGCCTCCTCTGCAGAGCATGTTTATACCTCCATGAGTGGTGGATCTCTCACTTCCTGTAGAATGATGGTTGGGTTGAAGTGTTTTGTCAGTACAAATACTGGTGGCTTTCCCTAATTCCCAGAGGAAGAAATTAATTTACAGATGAACTTGTTCTCAGGTTCCAGCGTTCCCTTCTATCCATGTGGGTGCGTTTGTGCTGCTGTTGCTGTCACTTTCCTGCTGACAACCAGATGAAAAGCAAATAAACAAGAAGCATGAATGTTGATAGACAAAATGTGGCAACAGATGCGGACATTAAATTCAATTCTTTTTCTTTTAAAGATATACATTCTTGGATGTAATTTCTATATTATGCATAGAAATATATTTATCCATAAACTATGGTTATAATGTCTGAGCTTATAATTATTGTCTACTCATTTTGAAATGTATAGTTTAGCTCCAGACTTCAACAGAAAG